AAAGCAAAAATTAGTTGTAAGCCTTGGTGGGACGGGCTTTTGTTCAAAACTGAGCAGTAGTGCTAAGGAACTGCTCCTCATACACAGCTCCAATCACTTGTGCGGTGAGGGCAATTCAAGTTTGTTGGTTTTTTTCCTACCCCTCCACACTCCACACCCTCGCAAACGTCCTCACCCAAACCATGAGGCTCAAGGTTTGCTGACCTCATCCAAGAAGGAGAGGTCTGTTCAGCTGTCCAGGGAAAACAGCAAGGGAACTCCAGAGTCTCATCTCCTAATGTGGTGTGAAAGAAAGAGGGGTTGAGAAGAGACAGCTTTAATGGAAAGCCTGCTCACCTTCTGCGCTTGCAGATCCAAAAGAACTTTAATTTTGCCTTTTGTCCTCCGTCCCAGTTTAGGGCCTCGGTTTCCCAGTGTGCTGATGCATGATTTGGCTGCAGATGCCCCTAGCTGTGCTGCGGCTGGCCAGTGCTCTGATCTCTGATCCCCACCAGCCTGGAGGCTGTGCCAGCACGAGGAGGTGCCTGCCCTGCTGCCAGCAGGGGTGTTCCATGTGCAATTAGCACAGCCCTCCTTGTGTTGTTTTTGACAGTGAACCAGCTGCTTCCCTTCCAGCTTGTGAGTCTTGTGGTATGTTGGCTGCCATTTCGCCAACTGTTACGTGTGCGTGCTTTGCTGTAAGAGGCTTACGGTAGGCAAGGAGTGGTACCAGAGGCACAACGCAGAGCTTCAGCCGTCATTCTTGTACATGGATGGAAGCTGCACACGTTATTTAGGTCCTCCCCAGGGCTCCTCAGCACATGCATATGTTTGTGGGGGAGGGGGGGGTGGGGGTGGAGGGAGAGTGGGCAATTATATTGTTTTGTCCAGTGCAGGCAGCTGAAAATTATAAATCAAATGAAACAAATACTTATACCTGGCCAACAGCTTTTAAAAAAAATCGTCAGCGGCAAACTGAAGCCCTAATTCAAGTCAGCAGCTTGGGTTATGTGTTTTTTGTTTTTTACTATAAGTGTAGCTAGTTTATGACTCAAATCTCAGGTTTTACTGTATTGAAAAGTGGAGAAGATTTTGTCATTGTTTTGTCTTGTGGCTAGGATGTGACTTAATTTTCTACAGTGGACTGTTTAAAATAGCACTACAGCATTGATTAACTTGATCCTAAAAAGTGCAAACGACACACAGAGAGGCAGCAGCAGGAGTAGCTGAACCCAGAGGCTGTGTTCGTGACGTGTGTGTGAAATGCTGGGTAAATGCTTGTGAAAAAGGGGTAGCCTGGGCAAGGGACAGGTTGACACCACGCTGTAAAGCATGTCAGGTCTTCGCTTCTCATTAAATGTACTGCCACTTGTCTCTGCTTACATACCAAGTGAAAGTGATTGCATTGCAACTATGCGTGTGTATACACACATGGAAACCATTTAGCAGTGCTCCTCTCAGCCAGACTTCAGTAAGGGCCCGTGTCTTATTTGATTTAAACCAGTTAACAGGGGTAAGCACAAACCAATCCCCACAGGCAGAAAGATAGTTTTCCTAGGTCTTGTGCTCACTCACACGTGTGTTCTCCCCTGTCTCTCTATACACACAAGTAGGTATGGTTGGGGTTTAATTTGGTTAATCTCCTTCTGAGGAACTGAAATTTGGTCATCTGGCTCCTGGTGATTTCCAATAAGCTATAGTCACCAACTGAATCAAAGCTGTAGGCTCACGTTAGGGGACAGCTTCCTGTAGGAGGAAGCCTTAAATTCATATTCTGTGCAGGGTGGTGCCCTGTCTCATTTCTGAAATGGTGTCCTATACCTGAACAATGCTGGAAATGGATTCTAGAGGTTTGGAGAGCAAAGTGGAGGATGTGAGGGGGGTGGGGGTGGGGGAACGTGTACATGTTCAATATGAATATAATGTTTTTTGGTGTATGGAAGCTGTTTAAATGGTTCAGAGAGATGTGAGTTTCTCATCTTGTTGTGTCATGAGCATTACCTGTATGTTATGATGAAATAAAATCAGAAATGGTACCTGTTTATATAGAACGGGTGAGGAAGGAGCCTCTCTGCCTCTGGGTGCGTCTGGCTATGGTGTGTGCATTACCTGGCTGCAGGAGGACCGGCTTCCCCGTAGCTAGGGCTAGCAGGAGTCTCGTCCTTACAGTACGTATCCTTCTCTGTGGATGCATGCCAGTCCATGGATGACACAGAACCAGTGGCTTTGGACTGCTACTCATAAGCAGTGCTGACTTCACAACCACGGTACAGTTGTGAAATCTCTTACCTGCTCCTGTTCACCCTACCTCTTCTGTTCTGCTCCCTCAAAGCGCAGCAATGGCTTTTTCTGTGCTGCTTCTGCGCTGATACCTTGCAACAGCTAACGCTGGAGAACTCAGTTACACCATCTCACAGAATAGCAGGCCAGTTCTCCTGCGGTTAAACTGATAGCTGTGCTAGCCTTTCTGAAGCAAGTGTTTCAGCGTGTTTAAATTACCTAGGATGACCTGTGTATTTTTATTTTTGCCTCCCATACTTCTTATTTGATGAAGAATATAATCACATTAATATTTCTTTTGATGGATTCTGCCAGTCGTGAAGCACTGGGAACAACTTCTGAATGCTGAGGGAGAGGTATGCCCCTTGTTGCCCATTTAGAGAATAGCTTATACAAATGTAGTTATGTACTAAATTTAAGTCCTGCACTAGGGCACGGATGCCAAGGCTACGTCCTTAGATGGCAAAGCTCAAGCCTCCAAGTTTGTGTAGCAGCATCTTCAATCTCAGGTGAAGTAATAGAAGCCTTTTAAAAGAGAATTTAAAAGCATTATCCCAGTGCAGAAAGTCTGGCCTCTAGAATAGACTGTACTATCAGACGCAGCACAGTTAACAACCTGTGTGGCTTTTTATGCTTGCTTTCCACAACTACGAAGTACCTTCTGGCTGTTACACAAAAAGCTTGCATCCACTGCACAGTAAAACATACACTATGCACAATAACATTCCTAAATGGCATTAGCTGTTATCCTACAAAATAGGTTCACTTAAACACTTACCTGCTCTGGCTTCTTTCACTCTTCTCCAAGGTCTAGTTCTGACCTCAATAACTACCTTTACAGGATGCTTTCTGAAGTGTGTACTTCAGCTTTTGCCACTCTTCCCCTTGCCTGCTTTGCAGGACTCGCTCCATTCTCCCTCCTATACTATCCTCTCCATCCACTCTTGCCCATGCTGGTAGACAGCCCTTTACAGAGACAGTCTAAGCCCATTTCCAGTCAAAACTCAAGAGGCAACTGAAACCTGTCACATACTGTTCAACAAGACTTAATGTTCAATTCATTGATTGGTGTTACTGGGAAGGGGTCCTGGGGTCACTGTGTTCTTAACCATCACAGTTGAATTCCTAGTGAAGGGGGCTGAAACCAGCAAAAACCTCCCCTCGGTATGGATCAGGTAGCCTTGTTTTTGAGGGGGGCTGGGGAGGAGAAAAAAAAAGAGTGGAAACATTATAATGCTGTGAGCTGCTGTTTTTACTAACTACATGCTCATCTGCTAGCTGCTCCTTATGCTTGGACTCACAGCACAAGCCTTAAATAGCTTCGTGCCTGAAAGTGCTGATATCAAAAACCCAGAGCAGGGGCCTGGCAGTCCTCCTGAGGACAACAGCAGAGTCCTAACAGGGCTGCTACTGCCCCTTAAACTTGAAATTACCGAGATTCAGTAAATCTCCCTTATGTATACATCTTAATAAGACAGCCATATCCTGAGTAAACAGACCTACCTAGCTAGCCTGTATTTGTTCGTCAAGTTCCTGAGGTAAAAGTAAAGTTATTCTACTACTTGTAGATATTTCAGTATTACAATATGCCACTACTATTATACACACAAGAGCACAGCAGTGAACAGTCCGTAGTGTAGCAGCTCAGACGGGTAGGTGAACGCTCCTTAGAACCATACCTAGCAGGAGCTGCTGGGCCCTCAGGCCACAGGTGTTGCTCTAAGGCAAACCGAAGTGTTTCTGCGGCTCAGCCCGGGGCTGTTCTGCACTTGGAGAATATCGATATGAGTCACAATAAACAGAAAAGTGAGGGGAGCATCTTTTACTGAGCACCCCAGGTGCAGGAGGGAAGAAGCTGTCAGCTCAGCGCTTTCTCAGTGCCAGGAGAAGTGCAGTCTGCTGCAGGTACTAATTCCTAACTCACTAATTCCCCTCTGAACAACTGATTCTAAGTTTATTGGAGTAACCTGTTCCCCGCAGGAAGTGACGTTCTCAAAGCCAGGCTTCTATGCCCCAGCAGCAGCCAGCTCATCCCATCCCATCCCTTGCTCGTAGCGGGGCAGGGAAGCCCCTTGGCTAGGCAGCAGTTGCAAGCCCCAGGGCGGTTTCTCTCAGGCCCACGTCTGTGTGAGCAGCCACTCGCATGCCTGACCACGAGTCAGGGTCTGACAAAAGCTATCACGATCCTCACTTCCCAAGGCCGCGGTCCTGCCCTACAGCAGGACAGAGACTCGCCTGGTTTGCCAGCCTTTCAGCTGTCACAGCAAGGAGCTCAGCCTGACTCCCAGGCGCCACAGGTGCGTTTGGCAGGGAAGCTGCAGCCTCTCCCCAGTGCCAGGGCCAGTGGGTCACCCCCCTCGTCCCCACCGTGAGGCTGCACGCACACAAGCAGCAGCAGCCAGTGCAGTCCCAGTCCCACCCCACTGCTGACAAGTCACAGGCAGCACTGCACACATTGTTTATGTCAGCTGGACATCAGTACCAACCCAGATCGGGACAGTGTCCAAAAAAACCAATAATTTTTTCATTGCAGGACACACGTTTTCTTACGGTCACAAAGGTGGCTGCCCCAGCACAGCTGAAGCAGGCCATCTCCAGGGCACCAAGGGGGCTTCAATGTAACCATGTATGAAGCATTAAAACCGGTATGTAACCTCACACACAGAAGTGTCCGCAGCCATCACAGCAAGAAGTGGTATAAATGAAGAATAAGCAAGGTGTCCAGAGAAACAACACACTGGGAAAAGAGCAATACCAAACATTTTAATGATGGAGCTGTGGAACATACAGCACACACACAGCTGGAAGTAGAGCAAGTCTGCAAACAGGATAATAACCCATAAACCGAGGAGCACTCACCACAAGGCTTATAATCAAAATACACTGGCAGCTTGGGAATCGGAGAGAAGTTGCAACAGTACCTCATGGAAACCGCTGGAATGCAGTCTGATACAGAATCAGGGGCTGGTTCATGCTGTAAGTGGGCCTGTGAAAATGCATTTCTACGCTTTCTATGTAAAAGCTTAGAGGAGGGGAAGTTTTTTTTTTTTTTAATATTTAAATATATTTAAATAAGTTTAATTTAAAATACATATATTTAAAACAAAACAAAAAAACCTTTTCTGTCCCCTTCAATGGATCTTCACAGAAACTGACCTGCAAATAGGTTGGCACTTTAGCATCCTGTCAATCCATTAAATTACAAAAACAATAAAAATAACAAAGCGAACCTCTTTGGCCAGTGTAGTCCACTGGGCCAGCATGAGGTGTCACAAGCACCAGAGGCAGCAAAGGGGGAGGTGACAACAGCAGAACCAGGGGAAGGACTGGAGCGGCTCCGGCCCCCAGGAAACCAAAGCCCCACTTTGTTCTCCAGCTTTTCAGGAGGTTTTGTATCAGGAAGCTTAGTCTGCACCCCACATCACACATCAGCTTCATTTCACAATAAAGACCAGAAATGGGCAGAAGTGGTTCTCTCCTATTGACCATTCCAGATCACTCTCTTCATAGTATTGACAATCTATCCTTCATAGGAAAAGTAATAGGTGGTACATTCATGAGGAAGACCTGAGGCCTTCTCCAACGGTGTTTGGCTTGGAAAAGGGAACTCCTAAATAGAAAGGCAATTCCAATCGCATCTCAAATCTCCAGCTGAACAGTGTGTAAGGAAATAAAGCATCGGTCTCATCTTGAGCATCACCTGCCTTCAAGATGAATCTCAAAGCAGGATGCAGAGGAAAGCAAGCGAGGAGCAGACAAGCAACAGAAACAGCAGCTCGAGACCATGTGGCAGGAAATGACTTCTTGGAAAGAGGTCCAAAGACTTACAGTAAACAGAGCTAGTGACAATGTTTTAAGTAAAACTATAACCCATCATTTGAGAACAGTTAGAGAGTGTACGGTACTTTACGGTACACATATGAGACTATCACCTCTTGAACGGAAGGAATCGACCTGGGTTGTTTGGAAGAGGTTGGCCTTCACATTTTAGCTCTGACTTCTTTCTGTTTAAGCTATTACATCTTTTGCAACTCACTCTTTCTGCTCAGAAAGCTCTAGCTGGGAGTCCTAGCAGCATATCCAGAAGCTTAAAAGTCAGTATCTCCCATTATCAGCCCAATACCTAGGTGTTTTATAGCAAATAAGGAAGAAACTGACCTGCAGCCCATGCTCTCACAGGTTTCAGATAGGAGTACTACTTGCCTGCCCTCATTAGCACTGCAAGGACAATGCTTTGATCTGGTACTTAATAGTGTGAGGACAAATGTCTAGAACTTTACAGGAGAGAGTATCTACAGTCTAGCCCCTGCTTGGAGATCCAGTATCAGGATCTTCCCACTGGTCTGAGCTTCCAGCACCCCAGGGTGTGGTATACCTATTATTGCATTTGACAGAGACAGGCAGCTGAATGTTGCGCATTCTGAATTTCCAGACAGCGTGATCTGGGAGAGGACAAAAATGCCTGCAGCATCTATTTAAAGTTGCTGAATATTGCAGCGTGTCTGATGGCCGGAGGCAGAGAACTATTTCATGACAGACAGTAAGAATCCTCATGTCATAGTCATGGAAAGCGGGTTTTTGCGGGTTGCTCTGTCTCATGTATGCATCAAAACTTTTTACAAACCAAGTATAAAAAATACTGCAAGAGGCATGAGCATGGGTGGGAGTTCTATGTGCACAATGTTATATCCTGTGCAAGAGCACACACCTACACGTACACACGAATGAACCAGATCTGGGGTGTAAGAGGTAATGAAGTAGGCTCACTCTGCTGCCTTTCCTAGAAAACGTCCTGCTCTGTTCTTTGCCGTATCTGAAGTAGTCAATTGCTCTTCCCAGGGTACCATTCCACAGGGCTTCCTTGCTACAGGACTCTGTTCTCAGACAATGCTCAGTGGCCTTAGAACCCTGTCACTGCTACCATTCAAACACAGATCCAAGCTGGCTGCAGTATGCATTACACAGATTCACTCCATGGCCTTTGGTTATGCAACGAAAAATAACAGCTTGTTGCTTCCTTCTACCAGGCAGCCATTAATACTGTATTAAAAAAAAAAAAAAAAAAGAAAGAAAAGATGCTCTTATGATGCTCTTATTCCCAAATGCTTAGAGACAATCTCTTGCTAATTAAGTACTCTCAAGTACTAAGAGGTATTCTAGCAAGCTGGCTTTGGCAAGTCACCCAGCCTCCTGCTGCTGACCTGGCAGGTGGGTTGTCAGACAGCTGTCCTCACCACAGGGAGTGTGCTCCTGAAGTACAACAACCGCTCGGGTTCACAGGTATGCTCCAGCCTCCTCGCCAGCATCAGCGTTCTGGGATGTACATAACAAACACGAACCTACCCCTGACCCAGCAAGCCCAGGGATCATCGCTTTTGGTTTCATGCTCTTTCTGCTGGGACGAGAGCTGCCACGCAACAGCAACACGGGCTGTTCAAACACCATGTCTAGATCTGTAAGTATTTCATGGCAGTGTGTAAAACATCTCCCTTTTATACAGAGAGAAACCGAAGCTCAGAGTGGTACCTGCAGCCAGCCAGCAGTCCGGTGGCAGACCTGGCAACCAAGCAGACTCCTAAGCCCCAGCCCAGCGCCCGGGCCACGTGAACACACAGCCTGCCGTCCAGCCGGGCTCTCGGCTTGCAATAACACAAGAACATCCTGTTGCCTTTGGAGCAGTTTGCGGAGCACAATCCCAAAGGGCTGTGTGGTTTCAGTCATAAAACACCGTGCTCATGCGAGCTCTCAGCATGACGGCAGCTAAGCCAACGCAGAGAGCCCAAAGGACTTTTCAAGTCTTCCATACACTTGAAGATAAAGAAACAACTGCATCCCTTTGATATAAAGAGCACCAAGATATCTGCAATTAAAAAAAAAAAAAAAAAAAAAAAGATCCCTCATGCCCACCTTTGGGATGCAAAGTGAACAGGTAGGTGCCGGCATCCATCAGAATCACCATGTGAAGTCAGGGACATGAACTGCCACCAGCTAGGGCATGGGGGTTTGCCAGGGCAAGGAGAGAGGAACATTAAGGCTTGTTTAAGAATAACAGACATACATATCTGGAACAGTTATTCCTTTACAGCCTCATAAATTAGCGAGCCCATAAAAACAGGAGCCTCAAGGAAGGACATGCCAAAACCCTGCCATGCAAACCATGTTAATTATGATAATAGGCAGATTTTAATAAACCAGTTCCTGGCTCCCACACTTTCATCTATAAAACATATATATTTCCAAGGCCAGGGGATCTCAGAAATACCTGCCAGCCATCTAATTGTCTAAACCCCAGTGGCACAGAAAGCGTGTTAGAGGGTTTGTCACACCCCATATCCCTTTGAATTTTGGAAGTAAAAAGAACAGATGAAAGAACTCCTCCTCTGTAAACCCAAATCTAGTTACAGCAACGAAACAAATGTCTCAGCATGGGTGGTAGTAGGGGTGCAGGAGAGAGCAGGGCAAGAGGAGGGAGATGAAAGAACGGTTATTTTTCTTCTCCAAACAACGAGACCAGGGAGCTCCTGGATTCCTGGCTGCACAGTTCCAGCAGCTGACGCTGCTCTTCCTCCAATGCCCTGGCAGAAAGTCAGGCAGCACGGCCGTCTGCTTCAAACACCTGCCAGGCTGGTGTGTTGGAAACATGTCTGCGCTGATCGCTCGAGTGTGGAAGGTGAGGAGGGGAAGCCTGCAGCATCAGCTACGACTTCAGCTCCCGGTCAGGTTTCATGCTGAAGGGCTCCAGCCTCTCGCTCTCCGGCAGCATGCTGTTCAGCCTCTCCATCAACGGGATTGTCTGGTCGATGCCCATCTGTATACGGCGGAGGATGGCAGACATCTCGTTGACCTTCTGGATCTGCTCTGCATATTTGGCATACTTCTTCTGGCGCTCCTGCATGAAGCTATAAAGAGTTTCCACAGAGAGGTCCATCTGTTTAAAAACAACAAGCAGAGAGAGAAGCATTAAGCCAACTGTTACCACAGGCCTTTCAGCATGCTATCTTTCCTAAAAGCATCCACGAAGCATGTTAGATGCCTCGCTGGAGCTACCAGCCAGGTACGAAAGATCTCCTCTGTTGGTGCACAGCCCGTTTGTCATGAAATGGGATAAATCATAGCTGTATACCATGGAGGAGGACATATGGCCACCTATACACTGAGCATCTGATCCAAAAGTTCTTTATTTACAGGGTTGAAAGCCAACGGGTACTGCCAAGGATTTCCCAATAAACCATAGCACATCATGCAAGTTATCCAAAATGAGGGAAAATGTGGCCTCTGCCTACACCCGCATGTTTTCAGTAGAGACTGTTAATTTTCAAGCATTCAGCTCTCCATTACTTGCCAGTGCTAATTTCATTGGCTTAGCCAGGTTACTCTGCGACCGAGCCACTGCTGTTATTGCCATCATCATCTGGAAAACTCCTGCCTTGAGAAAGAACCACAGTGGATTACTAGTGTCCCTAATTTCCCCGAATCCTATAAATAAAAGTGTTATGAATGACCCCAGGAGAGACATTAGGTAAATCAGTCATGCAATTAAACACGGTAAGTACCAAAACACAGCTAGAGTGTTATTACAATTACAGGAACTGCACTGCTATTCCTGCCATTGAGTTACGAAGGTAGCTTCTGTGATTCACAGCCTCACTTTCCCTTCAGCCTTAAATCCTTCTCAGCTACGAGGAGGATCCAGCTGCTAGAACCACATGCACACAAGACAACTCCGATTGTTTAAGCTGTTGTACTCTTTGTGAGATATGCCACATAAAAACCTCTCATACGAAGAGTTAGACAACAGATCTATTCCAAACCCTCAAAAAACACACCTAAAACTCAGTTGCTTAAGCTTGCTGTAGCTGCGCTCAACAAATCCACTCACCATGCTGCCTCCTCCAGCCAGCACTGCTGAGCTGTGGGCACTCAGCTGGGAGCCACAACATTTCCCCTCACTCAGGACTTGGTACACACCCATGGTGGTTGCCCAGCGAAGAGGAAGGGCGCGCACACGCTGACTAGTGCTAGCCCTCTGCCTCCCGTCACCACCAGCTTTCCAGACTCTCCTGTTACCCCCAAGAAACAAGGTCGCTGCTCACGGTGGAATTGGTGCAGAGGACTCCGGGGTTGCCAGGAAGCACAGCTTCAACCAAGACCACATCTGACCTGAGGAACAGAGTCAGCCCATGCTCTCACCACAGGCACAACTGCACCCGTGCAGCACTAAAAACCAAACCGCTGCTGATCAGATCTGACTTATGCAGCATTTAACCAGTGAGCGTAATCCTCATCCAGCGTGCAGTGATTTGGGGACACGGGAGAGTCTGCAATGAGGGAAGGATTTGGGGGAGGTGGTGCAAACCTGGAGGGGGAACTCCCAGGGTGGAGGGGAGCCCTGGGGATGAGCACTGCTGTCCAGAGGGAGCTGTGTTTGCTGACAAACATCGCTGTCAAGCCCTAGGGAAGGGGCTAAGACAAAAATAGTGAGGCAAGAAAATGCTGCATTGAGAAACCTAAGTTACAAACAGCATTAAAAACACACAGCTTTCCGCTAAACTGTCAAGGGGATTAGGAAGCTTTTTTTTTTTTTTCTATCACCTCCATCAGAGCTGGATACAGTACCGATTAGCCTTTTATTTCTTCTGTACTTTCTCATGTTCACAGGCTGAATTCTTCCCCTGCTTCTGTGCCTTCCCGTGAGTTCCTCCCTCCACACTTTCATGCATGGGACAAAATAAAAGCCAGCAGAGAAGGAAACTCCAAATAGAGTGGAAACAATTTAAGTCTACATAGGGGTTTCAATTAAAACCCAAGCTTCATAATTTAGTAGCTTGGCGCTAGCTCTGTAAATTGGAGTATGTAAAAGCAGACCACCACCAGGTCTGCACGGGATGGAAGTGAATTCAATCCAGTGCCTAAAAACGTCCCACCTAATGAGAGACAGTGGTGCGGAGGGGCAGCCAGCTGGCACCCTGTCAGAAGTCAGCACACCTCATTAAACGGAACAGCACGGGAACGGGGGCAGAAACCTCCTTCATTTTCAAGGTTTTCCTCCGCAGGCAGGTTCTTCGCTGAGCCTCACAGGTCTGAGCAAGAGGCAAAGCCTGCACCTAGCAAGCTCTGGAACAACAAAGCCCCCCTTTCTCTCAATTCCAGCAATTTTCATCTGTTGACTTTTAGGCTCCTCGTGTAAACGCCAGCAATGTCCAGCTACAGAGGAAAACGGGGAAGGTGACCAGCAAAAGGAAGAAGAAACGTGGAGCGGCCTTCCAGGCTCTTTGCTACTTTTGGACATGTTCACAATGGCTATAAAAAAGCTGCCTCACAAAAAAGAGAAAGGGTGGAAGTGAGCATTTCCTATGGCTTCCCTATGCCTAGCATTAAAGTTTGTCTGCTGTGGGAGGCCGTGGCAACTGCACAGCCAGCGACACTACACGAGGGACTGAAGTTGAGTAATTGTGAGGAAAGGCCAATTTTTACTTGGGCTGAACTTGGTCATTTTAAATAGGAAAAAGAAAAAAAAAAGTTGTTTTAACTCCTGCACATGAATGCCAATGCCTCTTTGCAGCTTTCCTTGTGGCAGGCCTAAATACACACTTACATCCTTCCTGCCTCCTCCCCCCTTGAAGCGAGCTCCCAGTGGTGCCAAACCTTGTGCTTTTACCTCTCCAGGCACGCAGTCCTACTTCTCTGAGGCTCAGCCTGGGCCGGGAGCTGTAGGGCTTGGAGCGCCAACCATATTTACCCACCACAGAGACTAAAAACTGGCCTTTGGGAATCTGCAATGAACAGTGAATGCACATAAGAATCTGCTTGGTTCTCACCTATGTAATTCCATACAGTAGCAATAAAGAGTATCTTAAGAAAGGGAGCTGAGGCAGCAGTCTGTTGCCGAGGCAGTCCAGGTTTTTAAGATGTCCCCAAGGGCAAGACGAACCACGTGGCCTTTTCCAAGCAGATCCCACCAACTCCTGCTGCCCACACACGAGGCCCTGCCGCAGTCCCTCCAGGTAAACACTCAGATCCCAGTTTGTTGCTCATCCCAGGCCCAGCAAGATGCTTCTCCAGGAAGCCCAGCAAGATGCTTCAGAGCCAGCAGCTTTTCTATTGCCCTAGAGCCACCTGCAAGTGTTCACCTGAGCCACTGCTTCCACTCTGCTTGCTTTCAGCTTCCTGCCACACCAGGGCAACATGGTCACAAAAAAGACTGGACCTGAAGTGTATGAAAATGCAAGAGAACAAACACAGAAGGGCAGAGTCCAGTAGATGAGGTCTCAGTCCTAATCCTCAAAGTGAGAGACTATGCCCAGCCTGGCTACAGGGAAAAAAGCATGTTCTCAGGAGAGGGGTGAGAGCTCCCACTGCACTTTCCACTTCTGTCCAAAAATAATTCCTCCTGTAAAGCAGCAAACCTTGGACTTGTCAACCCCAGAATAGAAGACGAGTTTTTTTTCCCCCTCCAACACTGAAAAAGATAGAAGAAGTTTGTCAAATTTTCTGTGAGAAGTACAGTGTCACCAAAAAGGACTAGTTAAAACTCAGCACCTGGCATGATGTACTTTGTTTGTACAGCCAGTGACTCCCTGCACAAGAAGCTACCAGACCCAAATCCTAAGCCCTTGACTCTTCCATGGACCACTAGCAGTGAGGCAGTAATTTATGCCTAAGCCTCACATTTAAAACTTGAAATGACATCTGCTGGGCTCTTTCTTCAAACAAAACCAGATTTATAATTACTTCCAACACCACTGCAGGATGGATATAACCCCATTAAGCAGCCTCCACCGCAGTCGCTCCCACTACGCCATTCACATTCTCAACCAGTGAGGCCTCGGGAGACCGCATTACACAGCCCTGTTTGTAACATACTGATGAAACACAAAAACAATTGAGGGTAGTTTCAGACAACTTGCACACCACAAATTCTTGCATTTATTTTAGAATTCTTCTTGGCCCACACTGCTGAGCAGAATAAAGACATTAATTTAGCCCATAAAAGACTGAGGTCAGTACTGGACACTGCCCAACTCTTTTCAAGAGACCATGCTGAAAACAAACCAATGCCCTATGTACACCTAGCATGGTTTTTATTACCTCTGCCACGGACGTGTACGTATCCTGAGATTTGGGAAACAGGGGCCACCTCTTGTTAGTTCCATAATTTGTTTCAAGAATTTAAAGTTCCAGCTAGACACATTTTCCCCAGGTTCAGCAATATAAGCGGTACTTGCAAGCACAAACACAGGTTCCTTGAACTTGGAATTGAGCTTCTAGAGAGGCTCTGGCATTGCTGACACCACTGAGAAAAAAACACTGATCATAAGAGGATGCCCTGACATTCCCAGCTTCACCATTCCCTCCTCGAAATGCCTGTAAGGCAAAAAGATGTTTTGCTCTCTCCATCTCCACTCAGTAACAGACTTCAAGAGCTCACCTACACTTCCATTTGTACTGTGTTCCTCTGTCTTAATAATTTGCTGATAGCTCCCATCCCCTATGGCTGCCACTCAAAAAAACACAGCAATTAGGGCGCAATCCTTATTCCAGAAAGCTCATTTGCTAGAACAACGCTCCTAACACAAGTAGCCTTTCCCCTCACACACTGTCAGGTGCCTGGCTGGGTTTAAACGAACTCCTTCCTGCAGCTGCACAGCAACCACATCTGAAAGTGACAGGCAGGAGCATGACTGCATGGAGTATTAGTCATGATGCGCTGGTGTGAAAATACTTCTCAATCTGTGCACTTAAAACTGGAGACAGCTCCTCTTTCTGTACTGGCTGAAAACAAATGGGCTCAATGAATGGCTTCCCCCCACCCCACCCCACCTTTCTCTTTGATAATGTCACGCAAAGTTAGCACAATAGATTGTGATGACTTCCTGATGACGGGAACATCCTCCGTTTCTCCCACTTATCTCACACACTGGTAAGCAA